TAGGACTAGCGTTTTTATTTGTATGTACATGGGAGGCCGGAGGTCAGTTATCTGTGGCTTCTTCTGTTATTCTCCACCGTGTTGAGACAGGCTCTCACTGAGCCCCAAGCTCCTGAATTCAGCTGTGCTGGCTGGAAAACCCCTGTGACTGTCATCTCTACATCCCAGTGCTAGGATTACAGGCCAGTATCATAGATGTGGGATCTGAACCTAGGTCCTCATGTGTGCACAGCAAACTCTGCACATGTTGAGCCTTCTCCCCAGCCCCAGGACTAGTGCTTTAAGCAGACACCTGTGCGCTCTCAGGGAACGTCATGCTGGAGACTTAGGAAACATGACAACAACACATTTCCCAGTTGAGCTGTCGTGTGTGTCATTGCCATCTTAAGAATCTCTGACTTACAAAGCAAGTTCCAGCATGGTGTCACCAGTGTCTGTTACCAACCTGTCATTACCATCTTGTGCCCAAGGTACTTTGAGACTGTGTCGGACGTGCTGAACTCAGTGAGGAAGATGGAAGAAAGTCTGAAGCGCCTCAAACAAGCCAGGAGATCCCCAGCCACCAACCCTGTCAGCTCCAGCGGCGGCATGAGTGACGACGACAAGATCCGGCTGCAGCTGGCCCTGGACGTGGAGCACCTTGGAGAACAGGTGCCAGCAGCGTGCGCCTGCTCTGAGGCCAGGCTAGCCAAGGCTGGGGTGTCACCTCCGTAGGGCCTATCTCCCTAGAGATAGAAAAGAGTCAGGCCCAACTTGCTGTGAAGAAGGGTGTGTGCCAAGAAGTGGATGGTAGAAAAGTCAGAGGGACCGGGGTCCCCTCCCACTCAACAGCAGGTGTCCTGGGTGCTTCAGCACTTGCTCAGGCTGTCAGCAGAGCTGCCCTTGCTGCCCACAGTCCTGAGCCGGCGGCAGGGCCTGCAGCCTCCCGCCCTGTGCTATAAAGCACTGGTTGTGACATCACGGCGGGGCTGATGGCGGTTTGTAGGCCTCCCATGGGGGAGCAGTGACAGCCGCGACGCCACCAGGTACAGATGGAGGCAACCTCCTTCCTTGACAGTCGGGTTCATACGTAGCCTGGTATCCCTGCATTCAGGATGCCCAGGCAGGAGCATTGCCAGGAGTGGGATTGTAAGATCCCGTTTCAAAAAAAGAAAGTGAGATAGTCTGCACATATCTGCCGCCATGTTTATCCCATAAGGAATCGGAAGTCTCTCACAGGCAGGACATGGGCAGAGCAGGAAGGAGGGGCATGCTGTCCCTACTGCTGCTCAGGTGGGACACCCGGTAGCTCAGAGCGCTGCTGTGCCGCGTGTCTTGGTCCTTCGCTCTCTGAGAAGGTGCTGAGAGCTCAGCGGTGCTTTGTGGAAAACTCTTCAACTAAGGAATAATTTGCTCTTCTGTTCTCTGCATGTGGGTTTTTTCTCCCAGCATTTTCTGAAGTCCACAGAAGGAACTCCTACCCTGCCTAGTCTAGTGTGGTGGGCTAAGGGATTGAAACATGCTAGCTTCTTAGAATGTGAGGCACGTGACCACACTGTTCAGGTTTGCACTAGGCCAGCCCTTTGCTCTAACAGAAAACCTTCCCTTCCCTCCTTGGGAGCACGTCCTACCTCAGTGGGGCAGGGTCGGTTCATCCTAGCTTCAGTCACAGTGACAGTTCATTCTTGTGGCCTTTGCAGATACAAAAGATGGGCTTGCGGACCAGTGACATCAAGAGCTTCCCAGCCCTCACGGAGCTCGTCCTTGCTGCCAGGGACCAGGCGACTGCAGAACAGCCCTAGGCGTCCTGGCAGGACCTGGAGTGGGGAAGAAAGCAACCCTTGCCCTCTGAGTCGTCCAGCAACAGCCTGTACCTCTGCCCAGCGTACATGGGCCATCTTTCACCAAGAAAGAACCAAAAGCCTTTCCATTGTATGGAAGATAGTTTTTATGGCCTTCGAACCTTTTTACTGTAGTTTACAGAACAATTGTTTTATTTTATTGTAGATCTTAGTGTAGACAAGCAGATGTCTGCAATAGGGTGAAGTGAATCTACAGGTGTGGCTATCGGGCTGTCCTGGGGGAAGCCCTGGGCAGGATGCACCAGTGCAGAGTACAACATTGTCCCCAACCCTCCGACCTGGGAGGTACTCTCAGCCCTGCGCCTCCTTAGAGGCTATGAAGTGGCCAGCCCATCTGGGCACAGAAGAATAGCACTTCTGATCTTGCTGTCCACACCTCTGTCAGAGCCAGAGCCGGCAGTAAAGATTCATTTCCTAAATAAAAGAAGTATGCTGCAAACGTGTAAGTTATGACTTCAGTCCCAGTGGCCCTCGTCATGCCTGCCTTCAGTGACACGCATTCCCCGTGGCACAGCTGGAAGGATCCTGTCTGCAGCTCTCCCTACAGCTGCCTCAAGTGTGTGGAACGACCTCTGCCGAGCTATGCTGTTGATAGTCATGAGAGGTCACGGCTGTGTCTTGAACACACGTGTCATACCCAAGGAGCCCTGCCTATCTTTGTCCAGTGGCTTTGTCACTTGCTCCCAGAAAGGAGAGAGCACAGTGTCCAGCCCAACTCTGGCCTTGCTATTTCCCGTCTATGGGTAGGTGACTGGCAGGTGGGATTTAATCCCAGGCAAAATAGTTCCAAACCCATATTGCCAGTCCAACGTACACACTGGTCTCAGCCTAGAGAGTCGGAGGTCAAGAGTGAGACTGGAGGCCTAATCTCTTACCCTGTTGGCTCTGTCTCCAGACCATTACATTCCAGCCTCCCGAGGATATTTCTGTCCTTGAGAGCAGGATGTCTGGGCAAAAGCTAACAGTCTCAGACTTGGGTCTAGCTCCCCAAAAATGCTTCCTTGTTACTGTTCCTTAGTTTCCCTGTTGAGAGCCCGTTTTATTCACACAGGTTTAAAGCTGAAGTTATACATTTCCCAGCTTCACTGAAAACCCGTCTCCCATGAAGTTTACTGCTTCCTGTTATAAGAGACCTGTAGCCTGGCGGTGGTGGCACACGCCTTTAATCCCAGCACTTGGGAGGCAGAAGCAGGCGGATTTCTGAGTTCGAGGCCAGCCTGGTCTGCAGAGTGAGTTCCAGGACAGCCAGGGCTACACAGAGAAACCCTGTCTCGAAAAACCAAAAAAAAAAAAAAAAAAAAAAAAAAAAAAAAAAACCAAAAACAAAAACAAGAGACCTGTAAGGAGGAGGCCAGTCTGTCATTCAGGGACCTGCAGCTCACCGTGTCCCTCCTACTAACCAAAGGGTGTGCATTCATTTTTCAAGCTGCTTCCCATGACCACAAATATGGCAGCTGATTGTGAAGAAATGATTCTGTTGCAGAGGCAGAAGTGCAAAATCAGTGCGTGTTACTACCGTCTGTGGCTCGAGCTGTCCTCTGTTGGGAGGACCCATGGAGCACTGAGGGGCCAAGCCAGTGAGGCTGGGGAGAGCCGTCCATGCTGAGGACCGTGGGGTTCTGTGAGCAGCAGGACTTGTGCTGGCTTCTAGCTCGGGCACAAGGCAGAGCTCAGCTGTGCTGTGCCTCCCCATGGCACCGACACCAGGTGGATTAGCAGAAGGGTGCAGTCCAGGCTCTAGCCCTGTAACAAGGAGTGACGAGCAAAGCTACCCATGACTGGCTGCTATACGGGACGGGGGTCTTCCGTAAGGACTAACCCTAATGTTTGTTCCGTAAGGGACCAGTCTCAGAGCCTGGATATCTGTTCACTACTGTTATCTCCCATCAACTCCTAGGATGGTTCATCTTGTCAGAGTGATGGGATTTAGAGTCATCCAAGAAACAAGCCCCTGGGCATGCCTGTGAGGCAGCATCCCATGGGCTAAGAGAAGGAGCTGAACACCAGCCTCAGCCCCCAGCACCTCCCCCAACCCCGTGTGTATGTGTGTGTGTATGTGTGGGTGTAGTGTGTCCATGTGTGTGTTTCACTAGAAGTAGCCAGCTGTCTTGTGCCCCACCTCCACCCCCTCCCTGCCATTCAGACATGACCCGGAATAAACCCTTACATTGCTTTCATCTGCTATTTTGTCACAGCAATGAGAAGTTCGCTCCACCTCCCTCTGGACCAGGGCCTCTCTTAGCATCCCTGTAAGCCCATAGGCCAGGGAGAGTGAGGAGTCGGCTTCTAGTTAACCACGGTACATAGGTCCCTCACTATGCTGACTAGCACAAGCAGGGGGACAGGCTAGTTAGATTGTCACACCCACAGGGTAAAGTGCCATCGTGGTGGTATTGAAAGCCAGAGAGGAGTTTTCAGGAGGGAACAGGACTAGGATGAGAAAAGCCGAGGCCCAGGATGGACCTCGGTCACAGGAACACACTCTATGCTCCACCTGTCCTTACGGGACCCTGTGGTCTCAACTCCAAGCTCCAGAGCAGCCCCATCTATGAGGTTAGGCTATGCTCATGCAGAGTCAAAACTCCAGCTTAGGCCAGAGAGGTGTTTTAACACAGGATTTCCCACCGACTGTGCCCTGTGGGTTCTGCTGTACTCTCTGGTCTTTTCCTGTGGCTAACACACCACATCGCTCACCTGCTTCCTGGTTTGTACAGGGAGGAGGCAGCCTGACACAGACACAGACACACACAGACACACACACTGCTTCCTCAGCATAATCCCAGATCTAGGAGCTGTGGATTTAATCTCAAGGGGACAGGTAGACAAGCAAATAGCAACCCTGTGTCTGGTGTAAAGAAGGCCCCCTCCGCCCAGGTCCTCTCTCAGTGCCACTTGGTGACAGTCCTCTCCTCCACTTCCTGGCTGGCACACATTGGCCTCCCTATCAAGAACTTCAGGAACATTGCTCAGCCTGTCAGCTAAACTAAGCATGTCTGTTCTGCCGATAATACTGTGTTTAGCTTATCATTGAAAGACAATTCTCAGCACAGTGAGGAAGATGTTTTCAAAATATGGTGCCAGGGATAAGAAATCGTAAGGTGTTGTAGGGACTCTGGAGGTCACGGTCTCACACTCAGTGAACTAATTACAAACCCAGAATAAGGGGACAATGTTCATTTTAATGTTAAAACCCAATTTCTGTTCTCGGATAAAAAGGGGATGCTTTTTGGTTTCAACAACAGTTGTTTGGTCCAAATTTTGTCCAGAATGGCAGTCCTGTGCAGAGTGCCAGCCCCTGGCTCTCACCCCAGTGTCCAAACAAACCCACAGCCCAGGAGGCCAGCTCTGCTGTTCATCATTTATTCTCTGTCTCCAAGTGCAGTCTCCAAGGAGATGGCCTCTGCCTTGCTAGGAGTGATGGGAAGCCAGGGGTGACAGTACTGATTTTTTGCCCAGGATGGCTCTCCGACGCCGGCCTTGTTTCCGTGGCTAGACACGAGGCCTCAAAGGGACCCAGGCCTCACACCACACTCTGGGGGTTATCCACTCTGCCCAGAAAGTGCAGTGCACCTGAATCCTGCTCATAGACGGCGAACAGGAACGGGCTGTTCAAAGTCACATCCAGTGCCTCGGGTGAGCCAGGCTGCTGGGCCGACTCGGTTGGCTGCTCTTCCTCTCCTGCTTTGAGTTCAAAGAGGATGCTGTTGAGAACCTGCAAAGCAAAATCTCCTTCAGGAGGGATTACAGGCCAGGGACTGGGCTCAACTGCCCTGAGCGGGGGGGACACTGTCCAGCCTGCCAGAAGGAAGTGTGGACACACCTGTCCTCTAAGTGGGGGCTGAGCACCAACACCCAGCTCCCATAGAGGCTGCTGCTCAGCCTGCCCCACGTCCTCATCTCTACCTGCCACCTCGGTATTCTCCCATATTTGGCTAAATGGCACAGTGGGGTCATGTCTTCTGCAGTGACTCCCCTCTGTTTCCCAGCATCCTTTGCAATGCCAACAGTATCCGGGCACATCTTCTATTTTACGTAGTTCTCCATCTACTGCTGAGATGCTCCCCAAAGAAGCTGCAGATCAGGGCATGGGGATTTCCCCCATCCTAATCTATTACAGCTTCATGGAGGATGCAAGGCTGGACTAAGCAGGAACAGAGATGGGCCTGGAACTAGAGATACCAAGAGAACTAAGGGAGACCGCTGTTCCCATGTCACTGGGAGCCAGAGAGCCCTGGCAGTGCCTACTGGGCCTGTTTTTTCCTTCCTGCCCTGCTGGCCTTGGGCACAGCTTCCTCCAAGTGGCCATCCACCCTCCCTCCCCTGCGACACAGCCAGGGGCCACTCACCTCTCCCACTCGGGGGTTGGTGTCAGCCATCTTGCCCAGATTTGCCTCAGCACCCAAAAGTGTGGACAGCTTGGCCTGGGCCAACAGGTCCTGCAGGTTGTAGGATCCTCGAATGTCCAGCTGGGGCAGGGTCAGGCGGATAGCCCTGTGGAGATGACACCTTTAGGGGCCTGGGGAGCTCCCACCCACTGAGAAAAGAGACTAAGTTCTCAGCCGGCCAGTGTTGTATAGCTATGTCCTGAGTTGAAACAGTTCCTGTGGGAAGGAGGCGCATAAGACACAGCTGGAGAAAGATGCTCTGGAAGCTGCAAGCCTCACAGGCTCCCCCCAGCGTTGTATAAACAGGAAATGATCTCTGGGGAAAGGAGACTGGTAGAGCTGCCTCCAAGCTGTGCAGGGAGCTCCGGGGATGCAGCTTTTATGGGTGGTCGTCATGCTGCCTGCTTCCTCATGAAGATAACTGCAAGGAATGAGCTTGAATGACCGAATTCTACTCAGAGGGAATTGATTCTTGGATGCGAGGCACGTGCCCTGTCTGGGGTGAATACACATTTGCTGTGTCTCCCCAGGAAGGGTCACACAATACAGGACATTGTCACCCTAGGGAATTTCTCAGAAACAAATACAACAAAAACCTCCTGAAACAGGAGGAGGACCTGGAACATCTACTGTGGAGAGCTTGCTGGTGGTGAACAGCTGACTGCCCTTTGTGGTCAGCCTGGCTGTATAAGGAGCACCTTTCCTGGAAAAGTCAAAGATGCTTTTGAATAACAGGCTATTAGGCAGACAGAGTGCCTCATCACTATCTTCCTGGCACTTGAGAAGCAGAGGTGTGAGAATTACCACAAACTCTAGACCCTCTCTAAAACCAAAATGCTAATAAAATAATGGCCCCTGTGCTGGATATAGTCTTATGTCGACTTGACACAAGCTAGAGCCTCAGCTAAGAAAATGCCTCCATAAGATAAGGCTACAGGCAAGCCTGTAGGGTGGTTTCTTAATTAGTGATTGATGGGAGAGGGCCCAATCCACTGTGGGCAGTACCACGCCGGGGTGGTTGTCCTGGTTCTGTAATAAAGAAGGCTGAGCAAGCTGGGGGAGCAAGCCAGTAAGCAGCATTCCTCCCTGGCCTCTGCATCAGCTCTCCTGCCCCCCCTGTTCCTGCCCTGTTTGAGTTCCTGTCCTGTCTTCCTTCAGTGACGGACTATATGATCTGGAAGTGTAAGCCGAATAAACCCTTTCCTCCCCAACTTGCTTTTTGCTCATGGTGTCTGTTGCAGCAATAGTAACCCTAAAACAGCCTCAGTTGATTCGTCCCCTCCCTGTGGAGGAAGGTAGTATCCATAGCTTCACCAATAACAAGCCATATCCACAACCACATTGCTCGTGATGGGGGGGGCGGTAACCGGAAATACTGTTTACGAGGACAGGCTGATGCATGAGCATGCAGCGGATGCCATTCACGAAACTCTACTTCCCAAGGGTCCCGCCCACTTCCTACCGAGGAGGTGGGTTCTTTATCCGAGTCGGGAAGTCATGCTGGAAGACGAGGGCCTCCACCCTGTCCAGATCTGAGATGCAGTGGGGCTGGATCAGCAGCAGGGTGGCGCTCTCACCCAGGGGCACGCACGTCATGGAGAAGTTGTTCTGGGCGTCACTCCAGTACTGGAAGTTGCCGGTGCCCGAGAGCATGGGCACAGACACGGAGGTGCTGTTGTCCACCCAGAACTCATGGAGTCCAGCCAGCTGGGAGAAGGCTCTCATCTTCCCTGAAAGCAGCAGAGACCAGAGGAATGCTCAACAGGGGTAGGATGGGGAGGCAGGGGCGGGCCTCTTCCACCCTGGCTCCTGCCTCAGCTCCTTGCTTGCATTCCCGCCGCCATGATGCTGCACAGGCCTGCACACTCTCAGCGGCTCTCTGACACTTTTGCAAATTGCAGATACTTGAGTTCCCGACAGAGACTGCCCAAGAGCAACAGAAGACACAGCCTATGAGGATCTCACAACTGACACCTGAGGGGCTTGGTCTGCTCCTCCCTGACCAGGCAAGCTCAACCCAGACCCGATCTGGTTTGCAAACTCACTTTTTAAAACCGTAGACATTATGGTCTGGAGAGATGGCTCCATGGGTAACTACTTGTTCTCTGGGACAGATGACCTGTGCCTAGAGCCCCCAGTCCCTTGTAACGGCTGAGCATGACTGTGCAGGTCCATAATACCAACACTGGGGATGGAGAGATAGAGGGACCCTTGGAGCTCACAGGCCAGCCTAGCAAAAATGGTAAGTCCCAGGTTTGGTAAGAAACACTGTCTCAAAAAATATATAAATAAAGGAGAAAAATAATAAAAGACACCCAACCTGTTCCTCTATGCACAGGGCATCATACACAAACACCACACACATACAAAAAAAAAAAAAGTAGATATTTTTAGAGTAGCATTTGATTCCCACCAACACGGAGCAGCTGGTTCTGCTTCCTGAGTCCCGCGCTCTGGCTGTCTCACCATGGAGTCCTTTTGAAGCCGTCAATGAGCCATCACAGACACCCCATCTGCCCCCAGAGCCCTTGGTTCACATGGCGCCTGCTCTGATTGGACACTCAGCTAAATTGGACAAACCTGCCATGACCTCTCCCAACCCTGAGACATCATCAGAGCCTTTTCTCTCTGCCTAGCTACAGCAGCCTGTTAAGAGACTTTGGGCCTTGCCTCATATACAACGTATTTGATTGCAGCTGCCCAAGCTCCTGTGTAGCGGGATACCATCCCACTACTTTTGTATAAAGCTCAGCGATTGGGCTCGTATGAGAGGTAGGCGGAGTGAGGAGAGGAAGAGGAGGAGCTTAGAGGAGAGATGTAGGAACCGTGGAGGAACACGCACCTATGGAGAGCAGTCCTGGGTAACAACTTATATCTAGGTTAGTTAATTGGTTAACACTTCCAATCGTGTGGGCATCTTGTTATTGAGCATTACCAAATATATAACGCTATTAGATAATCTTTAACCATTAGAGTCTCATTTCTCCCGGGTACCGCGGATGGAAGGATGGTCTGGGCTCAGCCCAGCCTTGTGGATACATCGTGGTAGATTGGCAGAGCCATCTCCCATGCTGGCATCTCATGGGCTGGCAGGACCAGTGCTTTTGGCCGGCATGAGCTGTGGTCAAAGTTGAGCAGCAGCGGGAGCACACCACCGCTCATGGCCTTAGGCCTTGCCTAGTCGGGAAGATGGCTTGGCGACCCCCATAACAACAAGCTAGAGTGGGCCACGCCGTTTTAAATGTTATCATTAACACTCCTGGACCAAGACTCCACTGTCCAGCACCCCTTGCCCTAGAGACAGGTGTAACTCTACTATGACCAATGCATCAGAGCACAGGGCTTAGGGGCAGGGATGAGTCTCTCCTCTCTCTCTCTCTCTCTCTCTCTCTCTCTCTCCCTCTCTCTCCCCCCCTCCCCCCCCCCCCCCCCCCCCCCCCCCCCCCCTTCCCTCTTTCCCTTTTTCTCTCAACTGCTGAGGGCAGGAGTGAACTAGGGACAGGATAGGAAGGAAGCACACTCCAAGCTGAGCCACCCCAGGCAGACGCCACAGGCTCAGCCTGCACTGCACTCAGACGCTGTTGGAGTCTCCTTATAATTGTCCTAACCCTGACTTCAGGCTCACACATGCCCCCAGTCCTCCCATTTACCATGAAAGGGGCGTTTAGGAGTTCAAGGAGATAGGGCTGAGATTGAGGTGCAGGCCCAGTTCTCCAGAGGATGCCCACAGAGCGTGTGTCCTGCTGTATGAAGTCAGGGCTCCCCAGTGTGACTCCAGCAAGAAGGGGTTGAGAACAGTTTGGCTCCACCTGGGGTCAGACTGAGTGAAAGTAGAGCCGTTCCCCTAAAGGCCGGGAGAGCGGCTCACACCTGGGATCCCAGCACTCAGAACACTGAGGTAAGAAGTATCACAGAGAGTTCGAGCCAGTCTGAGGTACTCAGTGAGACCCTGTCATACACACGCAGCTCACGGGAGAGAGAAGCTGACAATCACCTCAGGAACCTTGGGGTTATGCAGTTTAGAGGAAAAAGCACTGAATTTTTATCTCTAGCAAAAAGAGAAATGAGAAACAGGACAAGGCTTTGAGAGAGACCGAAGCTGTCTGTCCCCCATTCTCCTCATGCTCCCCAAACCCCTCCCTGCTCACCAGCACCACTCTGGGCTGAGTAAACTTACCCCAGTCATGTCCCCTAGTCTCATGGAACCTGCCAGGGCCATTCAAGCTCTGGGGACATCAAGTACTAGGCAAAGAACACTGGAGAGACCATGAACCCAAGGCCACGAGGCTTCACTAGATACACATACTTAACTGTCCCCAAGGCTATTGCTAAGGGAACCTGGAGTTTCCGAGGCAATCTGCAACCTCACGGGTGTGAGGAAGAGGGTAGGCCTCTAGCGGGTGGAGATGGGCAGGAAAAGGGAGGCAGCAGTGAGGTCAGGACAGAGCACAGGTGAGCATCCAGGCCTCTGAGTGCTGACGCAGCTCATCTTTTTCCTTCTCCCCACCCCCTCCGTTCTCCTCTTCCCCTTCCTCATCTTCTTTTTCTTCCCCCTCTCTTCATCTTCCTCCATTTCCCCCTCTTCTTTTTCCTCAACCTCCTTTTCCTCCTCCTCCCCTTCATCATCCACTTCCTCTTCCCTTTCCTCCTCCTCCCTTCCTCCTGCTATTCCTCCTCCCATTCTTCTTTTTCCTCCTCCCCTTCTTCCTCCCATTCCTCCTCTTTTTCCTCCTCCTTCCCATTCCTCCTCCTACCCTTCTCCCTCTACCTCCTCTTCTTCCTCCTCCCTTCCCTCCTCCAAGTCCTCCTCCTCTTTCTCCTCCTCTCCTTCCTCCCCACCATCCTCCCATTCCTCCTCTTTTTCCTCCTCCTTCTACCCCCCCCCCCCCTCCCCCCTCCCTCCTCCCATTCCTTCCCTTCACCTTCCTCTGTTCTCTCACGGCTGGCTCTGCAGTCTGGGTATGTGAAATCAGGCATCCTCTACGGCAAGCCATCACCCACAGTGTCACCCTTTAGAAGTGCTTCTTTCTCAGTGATAGTCTTCCCAGGGTCTCTCATAAGGACTATAGCTCAGTTCTAGACTCCTTTCCAACTTACACAGGTGTAGCCACCCTTCACCAGCCTCAGGGCTGGCCCTTTCCCTCAACATTCTGGTCTCCCCCTTTCCCAGTCTCAAGGCAGGCCAAGGTCTTTCCCCATGTGAATTTATAGACTGCAAAGATATTGTCACAGTGCCCAAGTCATCCCTAATCCCTCTACCTCTACCCCATGCTGGGATGTCTTCCTGCTGGCCCTCATCGACGCACCCCTCCCCTAGTAACCATCAATTCAAAAGATCTGGGACCCCGACAAATGTTCCCAGGATGGTGTTCCTGGACCACTGCACACCTTTGGGTGGTATAGTGCCCTCCCGTCCCCCCCAACCCCCCGCACACACTCCTGCAGTACTGTCACCTGCCAAGGTCCGACCTCCTAGGAATAAAACTGTCCTGTTCAGCCCACAGGAGAAAGAGCATCCTCCCAGGGTGTGCCCTCTCTGAGCCCAGCCCCTCCACACTCCCACCCTGATCTCCCGAAGCGTTGCACGATGCTTGCCCTTGGCCTTTTCCAGCCTGTTACAACTCACTCCTTTCCCCCTCACAGTTAGCGCTGCTCCATGCAGTGCTGCCTCAGGCATTTGCCCGGGGGGGGGGGGTCTCCATACTTGCTGATGTTTAATAAGAAACCTGGAGGGTCAGAATCTCTGTCCCTCAAAGACCCCTGCCCAGTCTTAAAAGTAGTTGGAGATGATCAAATGGATGGACAACTTCCTGGACTGGGATGTGTGGGCATCTCTCCATGTGAGCGAGTAAGCTGGGTGTTCCTGCGGGGGGTCAGCCACCCTAGTCTCAGGAGCATGGCTCGGCCCAGAAGGACAATTGGGTAGGGCGGCAGAGGCTGTGCCATCTTGAGCCAGGTTTGCTTTTCTTAGCCTCCAGGGCTTCACCAGTGACACAGAGGCAGGAACCTGTCATCTCTGCCCGTCTCACACATAAACCACAGGGATGCCATGGAAACCCAGTGCCACCTCTGGTACAAGCCAGGGCCAGTGACCCAAGCGTTTGCCTCACCTTGGAAGTGAACGTAGGTGTTGAAAAGTAGGGTGCTGTCTGTGCTGACCCCCTCCAGTGGCAAGTTCATCTTCCACCCTGTCACAGCCTGCACGAACCTGTTGATCTTCTCAGTGGCAAGAGCTGGGTCAGTGGATAAGTCCAGAGAGCGTGGGAAGAGGGCAGGAGCAAAGGGAGCCAGACTCTGAACAAATGGCTGCTTTAGGCGCAGGCCTGGGGCAGTGAATAGGCCCACCACGGTAGACTGTAGCAGAGGCGTCTGGCTGCTGCTCCCACCCTGGGTGACCAGCAAGCCCTGAACGGCCTGCAGGGCAGTGAGGACCTTGTGTCCATCCAGTCGGGAGGTGCAGTCTCCCTCCTTCACAGGGACACCCAGCAGTGCCTGCAGCTGGCTGGCCGTGGGATCCAAGGATCCAAGGTAGAAAGAGACCAGGGTGCCAAAGAGGGCCGGTGGAGAGAGAATGGCCACACCTCCTGCCTCTCTCAACATCTTGTACATGCGGAAGCCCATGAAGTTGGCAATCATTGCGACCTGGGCAGCCCGCTGCCGATCCTCAGCCCCTAGCTTCTCAGTGGCCAGCACCAGCTGGTCACACAGGGTCTTCTCATCCACGGGGGAGGTCTTAGCCTGAATGGGCACAGGCTCAAAGGTTGGCTCTGGGAGTGTGTCTGCACTGGGGTTCTCCAGCTGGGCGCAGGTGCTCTTGCTGTAGTACAGGAGAGAGAAGGGGTGGATGTATACGCGGTCCCCAGCAGTCAGGCTGACCCAGGTCAGGATGCAAAAGATGGTGGCCTTCAGGCCTGCCCCCGTGGGAGTCATCGCTGATCTGTATGCTTGCTTCTGTGTGCCCTGGAGTAACATTTTGTGAGAGTGACAAGTGGTTATTTGGAGCCCTGAAGCCAACCAAACCTTTAGTTGCCCTGGTAGTTCCCAGCAGCTGTGTGTAATTTGCATTCTATAGCTAAACTGCCATGTGCTGTTCCCACTCTCTGAGCTACTGGCTTTGGAAGTAGGGCTGACTTTCCCTCACCCCCATTCCAGGGTGTGCAAGCGTGTTTGTCCAGGTGACTCCCCTGGGTGTCTTGAGAGACTGATCGGAAGTTTGTCGTGTGCCTGGTGTTTCTATCCATCCCTTGCTATCTGTTTCTGCTTTTGTTTGATATATACTTAAGAACTCACTCAAAGCCAAAAGCAAGGCTGCCATAGACAGCCCAGGAGAAGGCACCTGCAGCTCGGGTCAGTCAGGAGGAGAGCAGTCAGAGATCCCTGGGAACCCAGGACGATCCATATGGAAAGCCATCCGCTGAGTTGTTCCCCGATCTACATGTTTACATTCCCACCTCCAGAGCCCTGGAGTGTGACTGTTTGGGGACAGAATCCAGGGCCTCTTGAGTTGCTAGGCAGGTGCTGTACGGTTACAGCTCACCGTAGACAAGGTTTCATGCAGCCTCGGCTGGCCTTGAACTCACTATGTACAGATTAGGATGATTTGGAAGTTCTGATCCTCCTGCCTCCACCTCCGGCATTACAGGTGCACCCCACCACTTGTAGTTTGTAAGGAGGTGGGGATCAACCCAGGCCCTCGCGCATGCTTGGAAAGCATTCTACCAACGAGCCGTGTCTCTAAGGTTCAGTAAGTCACCCTGGCTAACCTTGTAGTCATTCTGTATTCTAGGCAGTGTTGAGCTTGTGACCCTCCCGCTTCAGCCGCCTGCGTAGCTGGGATTACAGGCCTGTTCCACCTCAATCATCAGATTGTAATTGTATTTGGAGATAGGGCCTTTTTTTTTTTTTTAAGATAGGGCTTCTCTGTGCAGCCCTGGCTGTCCTGAAGCTCACTCTGTAGACCAGGCTGGCCTCGAACTCAGAAATCCGCCTGCCTCTGCCTCCCAAGTGCTGGGATTAAAGGCGTGTGCCACCACTGCCTGGCAAGATAGGGCCTTTGAAGACAAGGTAAAATGAGCACCCTGCCAGTGGGCTCAGATGCAGATTGAGTGACATTCTTATACACAGAGGGCAGCAAGAGACAGGGCTACAGATAAGTTGGTGAAGTGCTTCTATTGCAAGCTTGAGGATGTGACCTGGCTCCCCAGAACCCATGTGAAAATACCAGGTATGGTAGCATATGCCTGTAACCTCAGCACTCAGGCACTGGAGACAGGTAGATTCCTGGGGTTTGACTCCCTACAGTTCTCTGGCAAGATAGTCTAGGCTAATAGGTGAGTTCTAGGTCAATCAGAGACCCTGTCTCAAAGGAGATGGACACCATTTTGACATGACATGAAAGGTTGTTATCCAGTCTCTATACACATGTGAACACACTTGTACATGCACACACACACATATACACACACACACACACACACGAGGATATCAGGACACAGGAACAGAGAAATCTATTAGAGTCGCAGGGAGAGGAGGGAATCCGCAAGCCAAAGGCAGAGAGAGGCCCCAGGAGAACGTGGCTCTGACCATGCTTTGCTTTGGATTTCTGGAAGTCCACTTGTTATCATACTAGGCTATGGCACAGTCTTGGTAGAGCCAGGCATGCAAGTGACAAAGGCTATGAGTTCATCTCTGGAGAAGGACATGTGGACTGCCCACTGGTCTTTGTGGAGCCCTTGTATTCACGTGGGTGTATCCTAGGGTTGATTTTAGTGTCCATGAGATCCTAGCCTGCAGCTAGAATTAGGAGCCAAAGGTCTTGCCCAAGCCTAGGTCCTTCATACCTGTGATTTACTCCAGGGAGGCTGGATCCTACACAGCAGCTAAAGAAGACTCCATAACTGACCTGTCTCCCCGGCCTGCTCACCCTAAGTTGGCTTCAGTGATCTCTGGTAGGCCAGGAATTGATTTGCCAACTTCCCTACAAGGCACAGGAAGAGCTTGGGACTCTGGCCAGTCATGAACCAGGGGATGGGGTGGCCCACTGAGCTGGATAGCCTTTTCCCTTGAACCTCAGCCCTGCTCCAGCCTCAGCTACCACACACAGTAAGTACATAGTTAGCCTGGGATCTCAGAGGAAGAAGGTTCCTGAGCTGACTCTGCAAAACCTACCTCTTACTTCCCCAGTCCTGATGTGGGAAGGCGAGTTCTATCCATCTTTCAGTTCTGACCAAGTGGACCACGTGTTCTTGCTTCTATAGAAGGAATCAGCCTGACATGGGGCTTCCTACCCCTTACCTCACCATGGCCACTACTGCTGGGTGTTGGTACCTCAACCCTGGCTAAAGGTCACCTTGACCCTTCCTCTCTGCTGCTTCACACTTACAACTTCCACCTTCTGTTGTGCTCAACAAACCACCCACAAGGTCCCTAAGTGAAACTCTTAACGCCCAGCATTGTTCCATTGAAAGTGCTGTGGACATTTAGGGTATAGGTCCTAGTGGGGGTCCCAAGGCCACTGGCGGTATGCCATTAAGACGGGTGGCAGGACCTGTGTCTTTCCTTCTTCATTGATTTTGGTTCCTAGATGTATGGGGAAGCAGCTTGTTTGGCCAAATGCCGTTGCCATCACCAGCTGACACCCCAGCAGGCCCCGAGCAACAAGTCTGTCTAAATTTGACCTGTAACTCCAGCACCACAAGCCAAGACAAACCTTTCTTCTTTATAAGTTAATGATCTCAGAATGTCACTATGGTGTTGCAAAGCTCCGAGGTCACCCTGGCCTCCCACACCGGGTCGTGGCACTTGCCTGGGCTCCACAGAGAATATCCTCCACAGACAGACAAGGTACTTTTTTGTTCTGCTCTGGTCATCCCGCTGGTCACCTCTGGCTTCTGACCACCCAGTACTTCATCCTCCTGGCTTACACATCTGGCTCCACCCACCAATCTCAAAGAAAGTTTTTTGGTTTGGAAAAGCAGAGTAGAACACTCTGCCTGTTACCCCTGGCCCTTCCTAGGCAGAGGAGTGGCTGTGTGCTGCCCACTTGTGCTGTTATAAACCAAGGCACAGTAGGGTCAGGACCTGCCCCGGGTGCCTGTGCAGCAGGGTGAGCCATGGGGGTGGGTACAGCGCTTCCCACATTGCTGTTCCTGTCCCGGTGCCTCTGTCCCGGGGGCTGTGCCATGGCTGCTGTCCCAGGAAGTACGTCACCACTGTCCTCAGGCACAAGTGACTGTTTGCTCTCAGCTGTAAGCTTCTGCCTGTCAAGTTCACCCGAAGTGAGATTGCAGCAGGAGAACAGAGGAGATCTCTCTCCTTACCATCCCCTCTCAACCAGCCATTTCTCTGTGTCCCTGTCTTGTGTTCCCTCGGGGCTATGTTGCCTGTCCTGTCATTATCGGGGTGCATTTCCAGGGCTCTCTCCTGCCACCAGACCATCTTCACCACTCATAGTCTACCCCAGGCTCCCCACACCCCTCCCTCACCTCTTCTGGACCTAGCAGCCACCAGAAGCACCCTGTACCCTGTAGCAGTGTATTTACTATGTGTCCCACTGGTCTGCCTTCCACAGGAACCTGAGTACCACAGGTTAGCCCACCTTCCTAAGGTCATCCTGGGACAGCCGTGGATAGAGTCATCAGTGCCATTGGTAGAGGAACAGACAAGTCTTGTGACCTGCACCAGGTCACACAGCTGGGACACAGACCTGACGCTTGATTCCTCGAGTGGCAGCTAGACACAACGTACATTGCCTCTTGAAAGAAACACGGAACTGAGGAGCCTGGGGCAGGTTCCGCACGGAAGATCACTTTTGTTGCACAAATATGAAAGTCTGGGTTCATGTCCCCTGACCCCTTGTGAAAAAACAGTCACGACCACATACTCCCCCAACTCTAGAGATGTGGAGGAAGTAGACAGGGTGATCTCCAGGGCTTCCTGGCTGCCAACCAACCCCAGCTTCAGTAAGGGACCCTGTCTCAAGGGACTAAGAAGGACAGTAGCTGGCAGGACACCTGGTGTCCTCTTCTGGTCTCTATCTGTGTTCATGGCTCCGTGTCTCCATGATCCTCTCTCACACTTCACATATACAAACACTTATATACTTACATACATACATACATACATACACACACACAATACAGTCATACACATATACACATACATACACACAATACATTCATACACATATACACATACACACAATACATTCATACACATATACACATGCATACATACATACACACAATACATACATACACACAATGCATACATACACATCATACACACACATGCCACATTCACATAAATACACACATACTTTGGGCTGGGATGGTGAAACAACAACCAGAGCTACACAGTATGACTCTGTCTTCTAGAGAAAAAAAAAGCCTTTAATTCCAGCACTCAGGAGGCAGAGGCAGATAGATCTCTGAATCTGAGGCCAGCACACTCTATAGAGTGAGTTCTAGGACAGCAAAGGCTACAGCAGAGAAACCATATCTCAAAAAATAAAAATAAATAAATAAATAATATGCACATACAGTACACAGCACACACACATCACATATACACACATAAACATTCACACACACACACACACACCACACAAAAATAAAGAAGGAGCTACCTTTTTGCTTAGCCTGACACATATCAAAGTACTTCCATGTTACCAGGTGCTCCAAACTTAGTCCCAGCCCTAGAGAATCTTAGAACCATGAGGAAGCCTGTTTACAGGGGGGTAAGTTGAGGCTCTACAGGACATGGTGAGGACCTACAAGACACAGACCCCAGCATCGAGCCTGGATAGAGATGCTACTTGAGATGACCACAGGACTGATCCCTTCTTGCTGCTTGCAGTCTGAACAGTGAAGCCTTGTTCTCCTTTCAAGCTGGGAGAGGTCCAGTGGACTTGGCCACCCTAGTGCTGATCCTGTGAAAGTCTCCCTGCCTTTGAGGACCCATCTGGGCTCACAGGAAGCAGATGGCCTGGCTATCCCCTACCAGAAGACAAGCAATTCCCAGTGAGCCCAGAGTAGTGACCCGCAGGGGACAGCGTACCTGGACATCTAGCCTTTTGGGAGAGGAGAAGCAGTCAGTGGTCACGTCTCGTGAAGCACCAGCTACCACAGACTTCTGGCTCCTCACTCAGAACAAAAGCCATCCAACCCTTTCCAGTGTCTCTGCCCAGCCCTGCCTTCTCTGCTGTACACAGCTCAGCTCCTGCCCAGCCAGTTCCCATGAAGGAGCAGAAAGGAACCAAGAGGGCTCTGCTTACCTTCAACTCCAGCCTAGACAAGCACAGCTATCCCCTAGTGAGCAAAACAGGCTTATTTATACTCGAGGGGTGGAGATGGATCTATTCCCGGGCTACTCTGTACAAAGGCTTAGGGAGGACCCAGGTCGGGGGACCATGGGAATCCAGGCTTGGCCAAGATGGAGCAAGGCCAGGGCGATGTTCCTCTGGACCCCTTCCAGGAAGCCCCAATGGCAGATGAGCTCTGTGCAAAAATGGGCTGGCGTTGAGTTACACATTTACCCCAGTTCCCTGGAGCTGGGACCACAGTCACAGGACTGGCTGGGTTGTGACAACCGGAAGCCAGCCGTGTTGGCTTTGGGATGTAAGCCCCTCGTGATGCACTCGTAAGCCTCTCAGGACATGCCGGGAAGGGTCCCACCTGCAGGTAATGACCCTCACGTCATCAGCTGCTTTCAGGATGGATGAGAGCAACATCGACCAGCTGTAATTACGTTAGTTGCCTGTTCTGCACGGGGCTTCCAGTGGGCTGTGGATACATATCACCTTCTGGAAGGAAGCACCTTCTGGAAATTTCTGGCACAGCTGATTAGGCCCGGGAAATTCCAACTGTGGCGAAGTCATATTAAAACAAAATGTTCTGAGCTTGTGGATGAAAGGTGGCCGTTTTGGAGGCTGGAGGTTTTGGAGCGCTGTCCCTGAGTGTGGAGAATAGTCATGAAGGTTTAGGGGATGAGACTGATGGTCACCAAGGAAGGGTGGGAGCTGAGAAGGCAGCAGGAGCAGATGGTCCCCACCCCCGCAGTCCACCATGAGTGGCAACTTGCATTGCATCCAGAACATCAAGCAATCTCTTGGCAATGGAGTTGACACAGGCACAACTTGCCTCCGCCCTAAAGTGGCACAGGAAAGTGAAGGCGGGAAGAGAGGGTGGGCAGAGCAGTCCCTGGCTTAGAAGACAGATGCACCATGCAGAACTTGACGGTGTCTAAGCTGAGCTCTGGAAAGCGACCTTCTCTGGGCGGTGATGTAAAATACCTGCCGGAAGATCTCAGTGGGAGCCCAGTTGTAGGATGTAAGGCAGCTGCAGCCATGAGGGTCTGCACCCAGGACTAAAGAGGACACCAGCAGCCCATGGGGGTATGCAGGGAGTAAGGGCTCAGGAAAGGCCAGTGGTGCACAGATTTCCCTGAGGAGTGTGTAGATGCCTTAGTAGCTTCTGGGTTCAGCAGGGAACCCTGGGCTAGGGACACAAGAGTAGAGTTCCTGAATATAGTGATAGGAACTCTCACTTTTTCCTCTGTTTCTGAGTCCAGAAGACTGGATTCTTCAGCTCACTGAACAGTTTCTTGTCCTCTGTGTGAAGGCCTCAAGGTCAGCTCAGGATAGGGCTAGTGACCAGAGAGTCTGACTATGTGATCAAAAGGAATTTCCAGCCTCAGCCCTCTACAAAGAGGGAAGGGTGGAGATGGAGCTAGCCAGTCACGTACGCAGGGGAGCCTCAGTAAAGACCCTTTGCCTTGGAGAACTCCCAAGCCGAAGAACACAGCCAGGAATGAAGATGTACTTTCCATCTGATGAGGTCCTGTGTACTCACTCTGCCTCTTGCACCGTGTACCACCTTAGCTGGCTATTTCTGTGGGTGTCATAAGAAACCAGGCAGCCGAGGCAAACTGAGTGCTGGAGCCGTTCTAGCCAATTGTCCAGTGTGAGGAAGTCAGGGACAAGTCTGATGTATAACCATGCTGTACTGAGCGTGGGTAGCCCTTGCTACGAAGGCTGTGTGAACATGAGCCTCCTCTGTGCCAGTCTTTACTGGCTGGTCATCACTCCATCCCAGTTAACACAGATAAGAGGCTCGTTTAATCCACCTGAGCAAGTACCCCTGTAGTGGCAAGTCAGACAACAGGGCTCTTGGCTGTGTAGACTCTGTCTGTTCTGAGGGGGTTAACTGAGTGGCCTGATGTCCCCACGGTCCCCGGTTCCTTCACTCTCTAGGAAACAGTGTGAGAGAGAGATGCAGTTTTCTCCGTCTGCATCCTAGGACCTCCATGGTTGGCTTCCCTCACCACACAAGCATGTGGCAGCTCACACCAAGTGTCTCTCTCACTCCTCCACGGTGTCTTCCAGACCTCTTTATGACCAGGAGTTACTCTAAAACTTGTGTCCACAGGTAGGATTGTCCATTGGATTGTGTTCCCCAGTAGACCCCTCACAGCTGCCAGCTACCTGCCTCACACCATGCCTGCCAGGTACGGCGGCTCTCCTAGCTCCAGGGTCTCACTATGGTTCACTACGTCTATGGAACCACGCGCTCATGCTCAGAACACACAGGCTCACACGCATTCCTGCACTCAACTGTCGGACCTTCCTGAATTCCAAGGTCAGTGCGCATACAGTTGAGAGACTTACACCAGAAGGGGACTGAGTGGGAATTTTTTTTTTTTGTCTTTAAGAAAAAGCTGTGCAGCCGGGCAGTGGTGGCACACGCCTTTAATCCCAGCACTTGGGAGGCAGAGGCAGGCGGATTTCTGAGTTCAAGGCCAGCCTGGTCTTCAGAGTGAGTTCCAGGACAGCCAGGGCTACACAGAGAAACCCTGTCTCGAAAAAACAAAAAAAACAAAAAAAAAAAAAGAAAGAAAGAAAGGAAGAAAAAGCTGTGCATATATGCGTATGCTGTTTGTCTGTGTGCTTGTGTGTGCATGTATGTGGTTTGTACCCACAAGCATTTATGTATGATTGGTGCAAGCATGCACTTCCGATATTTTCTTGTCTGTGTGGCTTGTGCATACCTGCATTCCTTGCTTAGTTTGTGTGTGTATCGTATCCATGTGGCTTGCATGTATATGTTGTTTATACATGCATATCCGTGTGGTGGTTTGCATGTGTGTGTTGTTTATGCATGTATGCATGTTTGTGTATGACAAGGATAGATGCTATCCAGGGGCTTGGAGGTCAGGGATGTATTGTCCTTTGCTTCTTCTGCCTGTTTGGGCTTTTTCTTTATGGTGTTGGGGTGGATTTGGGTAGGTACCATGGGACTATGCCAGCCTCCCAGCTCCCACCATAGACCTGATGTCCAGATAGAAATAAAAACAAAAGATGCTTTGTCAATTAGAAAAAAATATTGTTAAAATATATAAACTGCTTAAGTGTTGTGGATAGCCCTGACCTTGTATTTTGATACTAATTCCCCTTTCCTGGGAAGGGCTGCAGAGGAGGTGTGAGTCATTACACAGGTGATTTCTAGTGAACCCTCTGCCCATCTTAATTTGTAAAATAAATGCTGGAGCCAGTGATTGGGCAGAGGAAGGGGAGGTGGAGATATAAAGGTTGGTGGGAAGAGAGCAGGGGGAGGACAACTGGAGGAGGACTGGAGGAAGACAATGGAGGAGGAAGACCATGGAGACTGGGGAGAGAAGAGAGAGAGGACCACTGGGGAGAATAGAGGAGAGAGAAGACAACAGAGGATGACAACAGGGAAGCAGGAGGTAGAAGGACAAACGCAGGGTCTGGAAAACTCTCAAGTTATAAGGGTCTCATAGCTGGGGAACAGAGTAGTGTAAGGGTATCTGCCCAATCTAGGCTTACAGAATATATTCATAATTACTGAGTTGTGTTTTCATTGACTGGTCCTATTCAGGTTGGAGATTTAAACATCACCCACTACAGTTAAGGAAAACCACTTTAGTGGCTTTTTTATTTTTAAGGCAGCATCTCATGTATCCCAGGCTGGCCTCAGATTCGTAGTGTAGCTGAGGATGACTCGAACTCCTGATCCTCCTGTCTCTGTTCCCCAAGTGCTGGGGTTACAGACATGCATGTCCATGCCTGGTTTATGGAGAGTGAACACAGGGCCTCAGTCATGCCAGGAAGTCCTCTACCCACTGAGCTATTCTCAGGCAGCTTAATGGAGTCTATTCCAGGAAGTATTTGTCAATAAAAATCCCTCAGCAGTCACACATGTTGAATCTGAGTCTCATATTGAAAGTGGCAGATTCTGGGGATGTCCTCAGGGTGCCTTGTGGGTCCTTTGGCACATGAAGTACTATTTCCGTCAGAGCCAAATGAGGCCACAGAGCAGACAGAAATTCGGTTTCCTAACCTTTTCTCCAGTCTAGCTCGTTAGCACCTGCATACCCACAGACACAGCCACGAGCTGCTCGTCCAAACTCCATGTTTGCTTTGGCTCGGGTACTAGGAAAGTCTACGGAAGGGTGCTTCTGCCCCGGCTGTCAGTTTAGATAAGTCATGGCCCTTCCTATGGAAAAATGTCATCACCCTCTTGTCACCAGAGCTCCAAGTGATGGTCAAAGAGCTGTCCTGTGGGTCCAGCAGGCTGTCTCTTGCGAAAGCTGAGCTCTAGAAATAATATTTACTTAATGGTCAGTTCTTCTACGGAAAACATAGCAAAGAAATTTGGAAACACAAATACTAGTGTCTTTCCACTGCAGACAAGGGAGAGAGGGGGCGAGGCAGAGCGGATACTGGGCACAGTGGAGCAAGCTGCAATTCCAGTCCTAGGGAGATAGAGCCAGGAGGACATGACCAGGCTGGACTACAGAGTAAGACTCTGTGAAGGAGAAGGAGGAGGAGGAGGAGGAGGAGGAGGAGAAGGAGGAGGAGGAGGAGGAGAAGGAGAAAGAAGAGAGGAGGAAGAGGAGGAGGAGGAGAAAGAGAAAGAGAGGAAGAGGAGGAGGAGGAGGAGGAGGAGAAAGAAGAGAGGAGGAGGAGGAAGAGGAGGAAGAGGAAGAGGAAGAGGAAGAGGAGGAGGGTAGAGCAAAGGCTGTCACTGGAGGACTGCCAGGCAACACTGTTTTCTGGGGCTCCTTAACTACAATGGTTTATTTCTGAACTTCTGACCTCTAGTGTGCACGTTCAGCCCCAATATCTCCCCCTCCAACACTCGTGCACTTCCTCATACACATGCACACACACACACACACATGCACACACACACACACACACACGCATCCCCACACATACATGAACTTACACAATGCTACCCCAACACACATGCACCTCCACACATACATACACACACACACTTGCACACACACACATGCGCACACACACACACACACACACGCATCCCCACACATACATGAACTCACACAATGCTACCCCAACACACATGCACCTCCGCACATACATGCACACACACACACACTTGCACACACACATG